TTCCTTTTTTTTTTGCATAATATTTTTGCCTCGTCCGGTACTCAATCGTAATCTTTCCCATCCCGCCCTTATAGGCCCAACAATCAGCCCAAATTGATGTACATTAAAGCCAACCCGGCCCAAAGTCCCAAAGACCGCCAAATAGCAAGCCGCGGAGGCGAAGTAAGAAATAAATTTATGTAAAGCAAAAACAAGGTAGACAGACCTCCTGCCCCGACTGCGGTAGGCATTTTAAATGGCCCGCCAAGGGGTGTTGTTAGTGGGTGGTGGGTAGGGGTAGAGGTAGAGGGGTAGGGTGGCTGTTTGGGGCAAGAAATAAAAACGTAGCATATTTTAGAGGCTGTGCGCACTTTAATAAGATTTATTAAGTCGCGAAGGACCGCGGCGCGGACTCGACATTGACTTGGTCCTTGGCAGTGTCTTAGCCAACCAACCAACCAGCCAACCAACAAAAAAAGGCAAATAGCCGGCTTTTCAGAGTGGGGGATTCTTCACGGGGGCGAGGCTGTGAGAGGTTTCTGGGGCAGACTGCCTGTACCGCGTTGTAAATATTTGTTACTCAACTCTTGCCGCTGCCGCTGCCGTTGTTGTTTGCGTTTTGTGTTGTCGGCTGTTTGTTTTCTTGTTTGCGTCTTGCTGTGGCTCAGAGCCCCCTTTACACTCCTTTACAGACCTCCATGCCCCTCTTACCCCTTTAGAGTGTTTATTTTTCAGCTAATAAAAAGTTGATGTGTTGCCTCTGTTCTTGGTTGATTTTTTCTTTTTTTTGTTGCGCTCTATGCCGTGAAAGTGCCTAAAAAGCGGCAATGAACTTTCGCCGCTCATACTTGAAATTTTTGCCCTCTTTTTGGCAACATTTCCGGAACGAAGAGGGCTTAACATATGACTGGAGCATATGTGCCACGGGGAGGCAGAAGGCTGTTTAATGGAGCGGCGATTGTTTGCTCGGAAACTTTTGGTTTGGTTTTGCCAGCTTGGGGAGCCAAGGATTTGTTTGCTTCGCAGCCGAAGTTCCCCGCATTGCTGTTTTGGTTGGAAATCTCAATTGGAAAATCCTAGCAATAGTCCTTGGTCTCGATAGTCCTCTAAAATTCAATTAGAGGAGATGGGTGTAGAGGGTCTATCAAAGGGTAGTTATAGTAATAGTGCATCTAAGATTTATAAGATCTACAGATCTTCGAGTAATAGTAATATTAAGATCTACTCCTAAAGATATTAATTTTATTTGTGATTTATTATTTCTTCTAGGCCTATGAAGATTAAGTTTCTAGCCAAGCTCTGGTCTCCTAACCCAGAGGACCTTCTCTAGAGACTATCATAGACTGCAAGCAATTGCTTAGCGTTTGTATTCGTTTCGTTTGTGGATTTGGCTTGCGGATGGCTGCACGTTTGTGTTTATATCATAAAAACAAAATTTAATAAATATTTTCGGGGCTTTCAGCAACAGCAGCAGCAGGAGGCAGTGAACCATTTCAAAAAAAAAAAAAACCAAAAAGCAACAGAAACTGAGGAGAAAAAAATACACGGGGGGAATGAAACTGAGCGTCATATAAAATTGATGCCCCTGTCGTCTGGTGGTGCCACCTGGTCTTCTGCCCTCTCTTTCATTCACCCGCTAGCCGTCTCTGTCTGCCGATGCTGCTGTCTCTGTCGGGCACCCACACATACTCATGCACACAGTAAATAATGTAATAATCTGGCCGGGTCGTGGTCTCCCTGCGACGACCCATAAACCGAAATTTATGCACGAAATTCAATTATGCTTAAAATGTGGTTAATAGGCCGACGCGGGCGGAGCCTCCAACTGGCAGCCCGACAGCCCGGCAGCCTGCTAGCCTGGCTGGCAGTCATGGTTACAACAATGGGCCAAGAGGACCCCCCACGGGACAAATATATGCAATGCCCGGTTATGGCCCGCCATTATTTCCTATATACCTTTAACCTATCTAACGAATTTTATTAAATAATATTCAGCCAACTCCCGGCCTTTGAAATTAGATATCGTTATGTTGTTATTTAATAACAAATTCAGTATTTGTTGTTACTCTTTTTATGACTCATGTGGTGTATGTGGTATGGTGGTATGGTGGTATGGTGTGTGTTAACCAGGTCCTGGCAGGAGGTTTATGGCTCCTGGTCGGATGTTGGTGCTTTGTTTCGCCTTTTTGTTGATATTCCTCAAATGGTTTATGGTCCTGGGACACATCATATTTTCATCTCTTTTTATGATTTAGTAGAGTCCTGTATTGTCTGTCCGAAAGTTGAAAGTGGTTTATGAGTGGGTCCACAATATTATTCAGTCATGACTCCGAAAAGGTAAAGTTCATTTTATGAAAATTGGCCAAATGAAAAATGCCCTCTAAGTTGGCAGGACATGAAACGAAGTGAGTAATGGCCATAACTCGAGTTAATTTTTGTCCAAATAAGTGCTCGAAAGGCAGCACAAGTAGAGGAGGGACTAGTTGTGGGATTAACTTTTTAATGCCTAGTTTCATGGCAATAAACGAATCAACTTGGATCGAACTGGATTCAGTTGGTAACATGATGGGCTTACTGCTAACTGGGCCAGAGTCTGGCTCAGCCTTGTCTTGCTTTGCTTTCTCCGGCAATTGACATTGGTCTCAGTGCTGTAGTTGTTCTTTCTGACACTCCAACAAACGATAACGAAACAAATCCGAGTACATGAACAGAATCCTGTGTGTGCAGGACCCGGAGGAAGTCGAAGGATGGAGCTGGAGGGGCGATGTGGCACAGAAAGACAAACTCAAAGTCAGCTCAAAACTTGCAAAATGATTTTAAATGACATAGGAAATGGCAGACGCATCGCACACTCGGTCTAAGCCTCGCCCCTCCCGCCCCACACTCACCCCCGGCTCCTTGGCCCGATCTTGTTAAGATAAAGTCGCCTTGCAAATATTAACAACAACAGCAAATACGTCCGTTGATAGAAAAAATAAATACTGCACAACAAAATGGCAAACGCAGGGCGAGGCGAATGAAATCCCAGGGTCCTGTGAGGCAAGGACGAGCGAAAGGAAGCGCCTGCAGGTTGTCTGGGTAGTCGTGGCTAAGACAACAGCGACACACATGTGTCCTTTGTGGGGGTGTGTGTGTGTGGGCAGCCATGACCATGCCCACGACCACTTCGCGGGCACAGTGGGTTCTGGGTGTAGGGATTTAGGGGGAGCTTGAAGGTCTTGAATACGGGTCGTATGAGTTATTTCTTGTTTACAAAACTTACAATTCTCTTAATGTATGTTTTGTAGTAGGAGTTTTCCTCAGTGAGTCCTAGCTAGAGAATTTTATTAAAAGGCTTTTGAAAGTATAAGATGGAATACATGTCGTATGAGTAATATTTTTATAAAGGAAATTATCATCAAAAATAATAGTCTTTGGGCCTCTTTTCTTGTATAATTTTCTAGATTTTCAAGTAGTTTTGTGACACTGTAGGTAGCACTTGTCGTGCCTTTATTATAACGACAGCATGAGCCATTTCCGTGCTCCGTAGCTCCATTTTCCAGTCGCTCTTCATTTCGTTACCATTCCCCTCATCTTTTCTCGTCCTTTCGTTTTTTTTTAATCTACTCACAGACATTTTTCTTTCAATGTTGGAAGCCCCGGCCAGACCCCGTCCTTCCCAGTCAGCTTTCCATTGTTCGCTTTTTCTATTTGTCACCCAGATAAGTGTTTTGTAGTATTTTCCTGATTTTTTTGGGTTGTTTCCTTTGATATGCCCGGCGAAGGAAATCCAAATCTTAACTGCAATGCGCTACGTGCCTTGTGGCCCGGCATAACCAGCTGTCATGTCATGTGTGAAGGGGGGCTAGGTGGGGCGTGTGTATTCCCTGGCGATACCCCCACCGACCCACACACACCCAATTTGGCTGCCCAGCTTGCAGTCAGTTCCATTCAACCGGCAACTGTCTTTAAGTTCTTGCCACAACGAATTCTCCCGCAGCTTTTTGCCCCCAGACCCCATCGCCAGTTAAGCTGGCTGAGGGATGCCGGCGAACTGCTTCAAATCTTTGGTAATAGATATCAACAACTTTTCGGAACAAGAAGAACATGAGACTTGGCTTCGAATAGTAGTCGAGTTCGGGTTCCGTGCGGGCTTAATAGATTGTTCGCCTTGGAGTGCGTTTCGGGAGTCTGGTGCTCGGAAGTGTGTGTGTTCTCTATTCGCTAAATTAAAAATGAACTTTGGCAGCTCAAATTCATGGTCATGTTAACTTTTTGCTGCACTTTCTCATGGCTGGTCAACTTAGTTCGCCATCGTTTGTCTTGTTCATGGCCCGCAGGGTGCAGGACTCGCTTCTGCCTTGCTGCCCGCCCTCCGCTAGTGTCCTTGATGTGGCAAGTTAGGGTCTGGCTTACGAGTACAGTCGGTATGATAAGATAAAGCTTTATTCTGTTCGCGGTTCTTTGTGACTGCACTTTTGCCAGTTGAACAGATTGCAGCTGCTGTCTCCGGCACGCGAATGCGTTCTGAGGTTTTTGGATCGAGCTCGGATAACCGCATAACCAATACAAATTGGGGTTGAGGCGATTTGTCTACTCATCATAATGTGTTGCAGATTAAGTGACAAATGGCTTTTGCTTCTGAGGCATTAAGTGATTATTAAATACTTCAATCACTTCGAAAACAATAGTTGGCCAACCAAGCGTGTCCAATGTCATTTGAGTTGAATTTATGGCATCCAGAAATAGCTTCCACGACGTACAGGCTCGAAATCTGGACTTTCCGATCAAGAGTTCTTTATCAGATTGATTTGATTCGATTCGAGTGATTGTCTCCAATACTGCTCAGATAGATTTATAATCTCCAGATAATGTCCAGGAGCGGCGCGTGTTTATGGCCAAAAACCAAATTGTAATCAGCAGACATAAGATAGAGGATCGTGATTTATTGATTCCAAGGAAGTCAGCCGATAAGGTCCACGTCTGAGGTCTCTTAGTACAAACTATATAAGGAATAAGTCCCCGGAAATTCATTCAGTGATCGTTTCGAGAATGAACCGCATGCTATTGAGTGTTTTGGCGCTGGTCGCCCTCTTTGCCTCCGGCCAGGCCCGTCCTGACTTCGAGTTCCCCTTCGGAAGGATCGTCAACGGTGAGGCCACCACCATCGAGAGCCACCCCTACCAGGTCTCCATCCAGACCACCAAGGGCTCTCACTTCTGCGGTGGCAGCCTGGTCGATTCCGAGACCGTCGTGACCGCCGCCCACTGCATGCAGTCGTACGCCGCCAGCGAGCTCCAGGTCCGCCTTGGCTCCACCTCCAGGAGCGACGGCGGTGAGGTCGTCAGCGTGAGGGCCTTCAAGTTCCATGAGGGCTACAACAGCAAGTTGATGGTCAACGACGTGGCCATCATCAAGCTTAGCTCCCCCGTTCGCCAGACCACCAAGATTCGCGCCATCGAGCTCGCCGACACCACTCCCGCCTCCGGAACCGAGGCCATTGTCACCGGCTGGGGCACCACCTGCTTCCTGTTCTGCTCCTCCCCCGATACCCTCATGGGTGTGGCCGTGAACCTACTGCAGGTGTCTGACTGCGCCAGCGACTCCTACAGCTACGGTGAATCCATCCTGGATACTATGGTCTGCGCCTACGGCGAGAAGAAGGACGCCTGCCAGGGTGACTCTGGTGGCCCATTGGTGGCCAACGGCAAGCTGGTCGGAGTCGTCTCCTGGGGCAATGGCTGCGCCTGGTCTGGCTACCCCGGAGTCTATGCCGATGTGGCCTCTCTCAAGAGCTGGATCGACAAGACCTCCGCCGAGTTGTAAATCGAACTAAATCACTTTAAATAAAGTTTAAAGAATAATTGCATAAAATATAGATTGGCGTTTGTAAAATTTGACCCATTTTTGTCATTGGGAAGTGTAACTGAACTTAATATCTAAAGTAACTTAATACCTTTTGATTCCCTTAGAGGCAGAAAGCCTTCTTCTACAGGGGAAAGCCCTACAGGGCAAAACCCCATTTTTAAGGGATCCCATCACGAAAAATGGACAAAAAATCTCAAAAATATTTTGTCTCCGGATTTTGATGCAGAATGGTGGAGAATCAATCTAGAAATCGTTTAAGGTACTCCGCTTGCGAATCTGATGAGAATTGGGGAAAATATAGCCATCACGGTGGGCCTTATAGGGGAAAACTCCATTTTTAAAGGATCTCATCACGAAAAATGGACAAAAAATCTCAAAAATATTTTGTCGCAGGATTTTGATGCAGAATGGTGGAGAATCGATTTAGAAATCGTTTAAGGTACTCCGCTTACGAATCAGATGAGAATTGGGGAAGATATAGCCATCACGGTGGACCCAGGGACAGGGGACTACAGGGGAAAACCCCATTTTTAAGGGATCCCATCACGAAAAATGGACAAAAAATTTTAAAAATATTTTGTCTCAGGATTTTGATGCAGAATGGTGGAGAATCGATCTAGAAATCGTTTAAGGTACTCCGCTTGCGAATCGGATGAGAATTGGGGAAAATATAGCCATCACGGTGGGCCCTATAGGGGAAAACTCCATTTTTAAGAAACCCCATCCCATCACGAAAAATGGACAAAAAATCTCAAAAATATTTGTTCTCAGTATTTTGATGCAGAATGGTGGAGAATCGATCTAGAAATCGTTTAAGGTACTCCGCTTGAGAATCGGATGAGAATTGGGGAAGATATAGCCATCACGGTGGGCTCTATAGGGGAAAACCCCATTTTCAAAGGATCCCATCACGAAAAATGGACAAAAAATCTAAAAAATATTTTTTCTCAGGATTTGGATGCAGAATGGTGGAGAATCGATTTAGAAATCGTTTAAGGTACTCCGCTTGAGAATCGGATAAGAATTAGGGAAGATATATCCATCACGGTGGGCCCTACAGGGGAAAACCCCGTTTTTAAGGGATCCCATCACGAAAAATGGACAAAATATCTCAAAAATATTTTGTCACAGGATTTTGATGCAGAATGGTGGGGAATTGATCTAGAAATCGTTGAAGGTACTCTGCTTAAGAATAGGATGAGAAATGGGGAAGATATAGCCATCACGGTGGGCCATGTAGGGGAAAACCCCATTTTCTATGGATCCCACGAAAAATGGACAACAACTTCGGCTCCGCCCGAAGTTAGCTTTCCTCTCTTGTTTAATCTTTAAGTTCTAGACCTAAAACGCCTGGAAATTTTACTTCAATAGTGTTACGAATGATTCGCAATATACAGAACTATAATTTATTCACAGAAACTATTCAAGAACCGATAAGATAATATAATCTTGATAAAGGCTATATACTCAATAAACCAAGCTAAGACTTGAAAATAGTTCACTTGTTGACAGATATTTCACTAAACTATTTCCTTAACCAGCTTATAAATTTTATAAATTATTACTCACATATGTGACTCTGAAGAAATATCAAAAAGCTGAATAAAACTTTTAGCCTGTTGCTTTATAATTTATGGATTGGAGTCCCGATTTCGGCTAGACACACCGCTCCCAGTGGGGCGTTTGCTAGACGACCTCTCCCACAACTAGACTAGACAGGAATTTTGATTAAAAATGTTTTTAGATACCGGATAAACGGATAAAATGTAGTCTGTGACTTCAACAAATGTTTTCCACACACACACACACACCTATTGTCACGCCCATTTTGTGGACTTGTGAACTGTTTTTTTCTACGGGAGGGCGGTTGTTTTATATAAAGCTGTTAAATACTTAAGTGTAATTTATGGCATGCGATATTATCCGGTCGTTCGCTGTCATGTTTGCTAAAAGTTTTGCATATGCCAAACCAATCCCCAAAACTTAAGCGACCAAGGACGAAGGCCAAGTTTGTTGGGACGTCAACAAACTTACACGAGTTTCTTACGAAATTTTTGAGGCCAGCAGCAGGCTGGGATTTGTTAGCCCGTGGTTCCTTGGCCTGTTGTTAGTTTTTTAACCCTACAGTTAGTGGCTGTAGTTCACCATTCTTGGCATATTTTGGGCCTGTCGCCAAATGAGTGCCTTGTCTTGCACGAACCGAGGGCATATACATCAGTCTATTAGCACTTAATAAACGAGTATGTCTGAGACGGGCTGTGTATGTCATTTGTTGGCATAAAGGGATTACAAGGACACGATAATAGAGAGTGATAGCTGATATATAAATGATTAGAGATCTAAGTGGCATAGCTATTACACAAATTACTCATACGACCTGTAAGCCAGTTCATTGATTTTCTATTTTTTTGCAGTACTAGATGTGAATACTATTTTAATCAGGAAACTTATTTATTTTTGAAACCTTTTCAAATTAATACAATATGAAAGGTGTATCCTAAGTTAAAAATATCATTTCGTTAGTTTCCAAACAGAGACTAGAGAAACATAGGGCACACCTTTGTTGGCCTATTACCAAAATTGTATGCCCTATACCTATCCACATTCCATATTGCATAGTTGGGGCTGCCAAAACGCAGACACCCAGCTCCCGGAAATGCCAAAATATCTCAAATTTCGCCCTGGCAATTGACCCGTGCGTCGTGTTGTATATTCTGATAGTTTTCATTGCCGGATGAAAACGATTTTCAACGTTTAAACCAAGTCCAATGGAAGAGGGACTAGGGGTTAAGGGTTAAGGGTTAGTTGAAAGCGATGAGCTCGCCCGCAGAGCATCAAGCATCCTCGTCATCGGGGCAGGTGTAAAATTATATGCCAGACGCGTGGCATAGCGCAAATCGTTGACGTCCTGCATGGATTTCCGTTACAGCACCTCATACACTTGCAATCTTCTATAGAGAAACACATATACATACATGGACATGCACCTGTACATGTACGTGTACGTGTGCGCTTCAATTTCCAAAGATAACAATTTTAATTACAACATTTTGCGCAATATTGGCAACCACAGGAGGCAGCACCGTCTGGGCGCTTAGGTAGAGAGCCGCAGCACAGATTGAAATTCAGCCAGCTAAAAACCAGTCTTTATTCATAAACACCTATGGACGTAATAATAGAGCTAAGGTTTTATAAAATCCTATGAAATATTAGTTCTTTAAAGTAGTAATTACGCTGAACTATTGTTTTAGTAACAGTAGTGATATTTGTTTCATAGTGTAGATGAAGTTCTTAAGCTTTAATTGAACCAAACACTACATGATATCCTTGATTTAGGCAACTAAGAGACATTTTCTTAATATGGTATTATGATTTATTGACAATAAAATGCAATATATCTAGTCCAGATAACTGAAGCAGGGGATTAGATGAAAGGTGATGAGAAGATGTATCAATATAATTTAAAAAGAATTTAAAAATGTAATATTAAAAAAGCAAGTAATTATTAAAAAAAATTAATAAAGTGTGCAATTAAAACCCATATTTTTAAGTAAAAGACTACTGCATTAAATTTAATTTATAATCCTTTTTGGGAAACCGTCTCACAATTAAAACATGAATAAAATAAGAACGCAACTCTCAAGTCTTTATGGCACAACATGTCATCGCTGACGATGATGCATTTAATAATTTAAGCCCATATAAAAGTTAAATGAGTCGTGGCAGGGAGTCAAGACTTGTGGCATGAAACAAAACCTTCCAACTCTCCGACAGGTGGCAGCCCCATCGCATCGCATCGCGTCGCAACTCATTGGATCGCTGAAGAGTCTACAACCGCTGGCCTTTCGCCGGCAACTGACAGGCAGCCTTATTATGAACGCGTTTTAAGTATAAACATCTCGCATTCTCATATGTTTATGACATAATGACAGCCAGTTCATCCCCGAACACCAGTCCAGGGGAGGGCACTACACATTTCACATACGCCACGTTGCCGTTGCCGATGCCGATGGCATGCCAGAACTCAGCCAGGACTCAACTAGGAGTCCCCTTCACACAGAGTGCACAACTGCAAAGCTGTGGACCGAGTAGCCGAGCAACTTTTTGACAGTTATGAGTGGGATTCAAATGTAATCAACAATTTTTAACTTTCGACCGCCCGTCGCTCGGCATCCTTTGAACAGGTTTACGAGTGTTTTATCCTCGCATTCGGTTGGCTTGCATAAAAAATTCAACCTCGGGCCAAGTATCAAAGTCAATTCTTGATTTCGCATATTTTTTGTGTGGTTTCATGGTCCTTCCATCCACTTATTTTGCATAATATAATAATATTTTATGGCTGAGGAAGTGTGTCAACTTTGCATCTCATTGTTTCAGGAGGGATTCACTCAGTAAGTGCTCTTCCAGGTTACTAATTAAGATGGCCTCGTCGAAGTTAGTGAGTTTTTAATTTATTTATTAATACTATTTGCCTTGAGCGGGTCGTCAATCATATTTAAATTAATTGACTGAAGTTAAGGCTGGTGTACGAAGTCGCGGATTTTTACCGGCTTTACTCTTGACTCAACGCAAATTGAATTAAGTTGATCAGAGTAAATATTGGGCCCGAAAGCGAGGCCTGCCAATTAAGCCACTCCCCATCCTCTATATGTGTAATTAATTAATTCACACGACCACTTCCCATACACACACACACAAAGTCACTTCCCACACACATGCATTTAAATGTCAAGCGGGAAAAAGTTGTTCGAGTGCATGTCAAACTTTAAAGTACAAAAAACAACTAATTAAAAAAAGGGAAATCGGAAAAATGCAGCTTGCAACATGTTAAAGTACCTACAAGTAGCTTTGCCAAACAAAATTATGTTGCAAGTTCGAAATTGGGGAAAATAATCATAGTTTAAATACGAAATTGATTGCAGACTCTCTTGCTATAAATTAGATTTAATTTAAAGAGGATTTCAATGCACATTTTTGAAGTCTAATCCAAAAACCCATCCATTTTAAA